ATGAAAAGTGATAACCGAATTGCATACAAACAGGGAAGCAGAGGCAACATCTGGAAACTGGTAGCTTTCACAAGCGGGCAAGTGGGTTCAATTGCCAGAATTTCAAGCTACGTAGGGGCAGAATATCCTGATGAGACTCCTGCCTGGAGCTTGGAACTTTGCTGGGAGCTCAGTAGCAACCAGAAAAAGAGCAACCACACTGAAACAGCACTTCATCCCAAACACTGCAGAACCTTTCGGAAAAAGATAACGACTATTTGCTACTTTATACATTTTAAGACTGTTGTTTGAGCTGAAAGTTATAGGATTGATTATTGAAAGCCTGAGCATAAAGGATTGAGTGGCAGCAGCAACTTGCAAGTCCTAGAAGAGTTGACCCAGAACAATAGCCTGTTGTTGGGGAAAGTGTGTGGTGCAGTAAAGCACTATGTACAGATTTGCTATGCTGTAGGATATCCAGTCCTTGGAAAGCAAAGAACTTTCACATACCCCAAGAGCAATGGCCATAAGAAGACCTCATAGTCAGAATACCTCCCCATTCCTGCAAAGCATTCATTGGTGACAGAATCAGCAGCAAGTAAACTGCCAGAATGCAGTTTTCTCTCCTGTTTCAAACTATCTTTGGAGCACTACAAGGCTAGAACTTTCATCATCATTAAAGTTGCACATAGGGAGAGCATATATAATATCCAACAAGCATTATAAAAGCATTGGTAAGGCATTACATTACAAACATCCCAGATGTTTGCCCCCGTGACCTTGGCTTGTTTCTGTGACTGTGTTCTCTCTCATTTTATCCCAACAACAAATATTAAGATGCTGCATACTCTTAGAAATCTAATAAGTTTAGATCTTCTCCATTGCTCTTAATAAGGTAAATAATGGGCACTTACCTGTTGAAGACTTGATATGGTCATAATGGCCAAACACAGAAGGATCAGCCAGGTCTTCATGATGGCAGAAAGTCTACCAAATAAATGACTCTCGTTTTTAATCCCAGCCAAAGACAAAGGCCTCTCTCCTATTTCTCAGATCTTATTCCTTGAAAAGGATCAAAACAGTTTCTTGCTGGAGGAATTCTGAAGAGCAGCCACTTATTTTCTCTCTGTCTCAAATAACTCCTTGTTGTTCTACTCTGGCTGTTGGCAAGTTCCTCTCTCCCATTTTTCGCAATCTCTGATCATGTGATTAAGCCCAACTTAGTTTCACTCTCTTTGGGGGAATTCCATTACTCCAGCAGATCTTGCTGAAAAGGAACAATTAGAAAAATATGATGAAATAAAGAGATTTTTTCAAATAAGGAGGGGAAACAGGAAGTTCTCTGAATGGAAGAAAAATAAGAGAACAAGAAGCAACTGTCTTCCTGCAAACTTCTATAGCTAATAGAACCAACAGTTGTGACATATATTACCTTACCTTGAGAGAATGGCACAAGAGGGAGTGAAATCTGAGAACTATGAACAGTCCATTGGTTGGCTTTAAATATAATCAGTTAAAAATTAAAAATGATCGATTTCCCTCTCAATTAGAATTCCCGTAAATCAAGAGGGTGGGGATAAAAGGATAATCATGGGTCAGCTTGTAGAATATTCTATCATGCATAAAAAAGAAAGATAGCAATAGGTAAACAATAACAAGTTGTGACTGCAAACTGCTTATTGTGTTCTCGCAACTTATTTCAAAAAGATGGCTTAAATCAAGGAAATGCTTTTGCATAGTGTTAAAAATTATTATTGTTAAGAAGGCTCTGTGAATTGGGAAGATAATTTAGTAAATGACATTTTGCAACTGTAAACTTGATCTGGAATGCAACCTATAGGCTACAGGTTTTTATACAGAAACAATTTCTATGAAGAGAAATAACAACACGTTAAAAAAACTCCACGTCTCATAATCATTCAACTGTCTATATCCAGTTTGCACTTTATGATCCTTGGTTGCAAACATGTAGCAAAATGCTATGATACATACATGATTTATATTCCTATTCAGTTATACTTATTAAATCTCTTCTCATGTAGCAAATCCAGCATCAGTTCCTCCTTTTTTATTTCACTGTGTAAGCAAGTTCTTGATCTGAGTTTTCATGTAACACCAGGGGTGGATTCCTGCCAGTTCTTCTATAGAAGAGGTTCCACAAATCTACAGTGCCGTTTAGAACCGGTTCCAGCTCCCTCCCCCTGCCCGTCCGCACATCATCAAGATGAAGAGCGAGAGGAGGAATTCTGGGAGTTGAAGTCCTCAAGTCTTAAAGCTGTCAAGTTTGAACACCCCTGGGTGTTTTTTTTTGAAAAGGGTTAGTGGTGCAAGGGTCTTGTCACTTGACAGCTTTAAGACTTGTGTGCTTCAAATGCCAGGGTTTCTGAGCCAACATTTTGGTTGCTAAGCAAGAGCGTTGTTAAGTGAGTTTCACCACATTTTACAAGTTGGCCACACCCACCCAGTCACATGGCCGGAAAGCTACTCCCACCCAGTCACATGGCCAGCAAACCACTCCCACAAAGCAGGCCACACCTATAGAAGAGGTTCTAAAAAATTTTGAAACCCACCACTGTGTAACACCCTCTGTTGAATTTCTTAAAGTTCCTGCAAAGTCTTGAAGTCTCTTTATTCTACTCGCACTTAAAATATTCCTGATAGGTGCCAGCATCAATGTTGTACACAAAGTGTCAGAAATTATTTCTTTGGCAGGCTTGTGCCAAGAGGAGACAGAAAATACTACTTTAAAACTGGAATGGCTAAGGAGTGAGTGCGGGATGAGATAAGGATGAAAATTTAGGAGGACATTTCCTCTAGAAAAGGCTAGCAGGCTATCTTGGTGCATTCAAGGACACATGTCATAAACCGATTGGTTTGCTTTGACTTTAACATGTTCCGTAAACCCAGTCAGTTATGGATTAGACCATAAATAATGGGTGCACAGTGTTTGTACCCATAAATAATGGGTAACAGGTGTGGCTCTTGGAATGTGTGAACTTAGTCACAACATCCTTAAAAAGATTACAAGTAGAACACTTTGTTTAGTATTTATTTAGATAGTTTTCAAGTATTACAACCAATACTCTAATAGTAGCTTTAAATCATGAAAAGGTCACTTTCTCAGCTGCATTAAACAAAATAGCTGTGATCCACAAAAGCATATAAAACTGAATGTATCTGTCTTCATAATGCTATAAGAAACATTTTTGTTTCTCCTGCAAAAGATTCTTGATTTTTCCGCATACCAGGGAAGCTCCACACCTAGAGGGGCAATAATACTCTTGAATATCCTCATGAAATTATGAGCTTCTTGGAATCTTCATCCATTAAGCCAATTAGCTTTAGAAGGTAACTGCTGCTGCTACTCCTGCATATATTATATCATTCCATGGTCATCCATAAACCATGGCTTACAAATGGTTGAATGGGGGAAGTGGTTGTACAGATCAGTTGGGCATAAGAGTGATACAATTACCAGTGGACTACTTATATCTGAGGATAAAACTAGGCCTGAGAATTATCCCCAGCACATGGCTTTCAAAGTAAAAATAAATACATACAGATTTGGAAGAGATATTGAAGGTCTTCTAGTCCAACCTGCTATTCAAGCTGGAGTCCCTATAACCCTTCAGACAAATAGCTATTGAATTTCATTAACATTTTCTATAAATCAACTATGGTATTCATTCAGAAAAGAGTGACATTCTGTTACTACCATGATCATTAATGTGAAAGTCTGAAATTAGAATTTTTAGCAACTGATATTATGTAAATTTAAACAGATCTGCACATAATATTCCAGGTATGGTTGTACAATTTATTATTAAGGCAAAGTTATAAATGAACGATGTTCCTGATTTTATGCTATTTCTCAATTTTCTTGTAACACTTTGGGGAAAATACTTTAAAAAATGAAAACAGCAAGCAAGCGACAAGTTAAATCTTAAAGCCTATAAAAGATAATAATTAGAAAATTAGCAATTTCACATTTGAATGAAATGTGAACTCAGATATAGATGCCATTATTTGCTTGGTTTTAAATATGTTAATAAAGTTATTTTTACCTTTGTCACTAATATTTGTTTTAATAATTCATATATGCATAGATGCATTGTTTGCTTCAGTTTTCTTAAGTATGTGGTATGAACCTAGCATTCTGGTTTAACCCATGTTTTATGGTTTAGTATTTCTGCTAATCCAGCCAGGATTTAGTTTAGTATGATTCATGATTCCAGCCTTAGGTTCTCATTCTCCCACAAATATCTATCTTGCATTTTCTATAATGAATAAAATACTATTATCTCCTCCCCACCAACCTTAGTAAGCCATTCATATCCAACAGTCCAAATTGTTTGCCTGTTTCTGTCTCTGTGTTATTTAATGAAATGATGAAGTCATAATGATTAATGAACATTTGAACAAGTTCTTAAAATCATTTTTTTAAAAATTCTTATTGCCTATTTGCCTTTCTTTTTTTTTTTATACGTATATTCCGTTTCTGTTATCTGCATTTCACCAAATTTCCACTTTGTGAAATGATCTTTGAGTGTTTCTATATGTCTAATAGATTTCTTCACATTGCTTATTTTTTACGGTTATTCTTTTTTATTATTATTTTCCCTTCTACATCTTACACTCATTATATCAACATTATTATGTCATCATACCTATACATGTATATATTATTTCACTTCTATGTTTACACATCTATATACACAGTTATATATATAGTTTTTTTGGCTTAATTAATTTTATTCTTGTTTTGCAGCCATTTGAACCAAATGTTTCAAATTTCATAATATTCCGACTCTTCTTTATCTTTTAATTTTAGTGTTAATTTGTCCATCTCTGCACAATCCCAAAAAATTTTTATCACTAATTCGTCCGAGGGGATATTATTTTGTTTCCAGTATTGGGCAATTCTAGCTGTGGTTAGCAGATGTGTTAATATGTATTTAATTTCTTTGTATATTTCCCTTTGATTATTTCCAGCAG